TCCTGCTTGTAAAAATTATAAAATCAAATGTGTAAATCTCTCAGAGAAACACCAACCACCAACACCTAGGAGATATCATTGCCACATGCAATGGATAGCATGTCCTTGTAGGTCACAGCAACTTTGGCCAGAAAGTGGCCTTATGAATCTCTGGCAACGCAATATGGCAGCCCAGGGAGATACTTCTAGACAACAACCCCTGCAGATGAAGCTGCATCCACTCAAAACAGCAGTGTGGTCATCGGCACCGTTAGTTCTGGACACTGAATTATTCTATGCTCTTTCAGAGAAGTGACAACTTATACAAATTCCATTTTGAACATTTTCCTGGGGTAGCTAAGATTCTTAAAACAAGGGAAGTGAGTTTTGGTGACTCTTTAATTTGTCTGAACTTTGAAGTTAGGAACTACCAACCACAATAGATTCTAAACCCTATATTCTGTTCCACAATGCAGTAAGATTTTGCTCTGAAAGGCAACAGTGAGACATTCAGTCGAAATGGCCATAATTTGTGGCTCAACTCATGGCTCAACTCACCTCATTTCAAATCCATATTTGTCTAAACCAGCTGAATAAAATATTGACCACAAACAGCCTTAAGTCCTTTTAGAAATAAGGGAAGGGAGGAGGAAAGAAAGAAATGGGCCTGACTGATATATCCCTACATATGCAAACATTTGAAACTCTAGCTAAAGAACCCTAGTCCCAAGTTGCTAATGAATGTGAAGCCTCAGACCAAATAGAGACACTGTCAACAGGCAATGACCTCAATCAAAAGACACACTGGGCAAGAACAGTTATAAAACTAAGTTATAATAGTGAAAGCTGAATTATGAGGGAACTTTAAATTTTTCTAGATTAAGAATAAAAGGGATGCTATTATTCTTTTTAAAGATAATACATAAATATGATACAAAAAATTTTTAAAGTACAAAAGGGTATATAGTGAAAAGTGAGTCTCCTTCCCACCTCCTGGCCTCTCCTCCTGAGATGGTCTAAACGTGTACATGCACTGAAGACTGTTCTGCAATCCCAGATTTTTTTTTTTTTTAACTTAAGGAGGATACCACCATTGTTTAAGTGTCCCGCCACTCTGAGTCTCCAGGGACATAGGTAGGGCCCATTCTTTTTTTAATCCTGAAATCACTTCAGGGAGGAGAACTCCTCTCCCCATGACTGCCAGTTAAGTTTCATTCTTTTAATTTTATTTAGGCTCCACTCCATGAGAAAAAAAGACAAATGAAAACCAAGGTTGATGCCAATCGTCATGAATACCATTCCACCAAATCCTGCACTTTGCCATAAACCATCTGTTACAGACAGAACAATCGAGACTCATTTTCCAGAGATTAGATGCTCCAGGAGTCCCACTCAGAATATTTCCACTGAAACTGGGGAGTCCTGAAATGCATGTAAAAGCAAGTTAGCACCACCCATTGCCCAGGGGATTTGACACAGCCCATTCTAGAATGCTGTTCATCACACTGCCCTCAGCAGCTGCATAAGTTTCCCATTCCTTTGTGGGAATGAGAATTTCCATCATTTCCACAAAAGACCTGAGAAGACAAGGTGGGGTGGAAGAGGGTGAAAGTGTTTTCAAAGAAGGAAATCTTGAGGATATTCAAAAGTGGGAGAGGGGGGCAGTTCTAAACTGAAAGGCTCACAAAGGCAGGCAGAGGAGGAGGCAGGCAGGCTTTGGAGCTGGAGAGGTGGGAAGGGGGCAAAAGCATCTATGGTGGCTGCAGATAACAAGATTAAAGAAACTCACCAGGAAGCCTGAAAATGGGAAAACTAAGGTGTCCAATGAGAATTTGGAAGGAGCTCAGTAGTGGGATTTGTCTGGGAAGTGGACAAAGCCAATATGGAGCAGCTGCATTTTATGCCAGAAGCCTACAAAGAGAAGATGTGTATGATTCAGAACCAATTTGCTCACACACGTCAACGGCAGTTGAGGGGTATGGGTGGAATGCGTACATCTACTATTATATAAGCATCACAGTATATTTTTGTTCCATTTCATCTTATAGCATTTATCTTTGATATTTTGAAGATATCCTACACATTTTCTAAATTGTGGCCCTGCGAATCATGGTGCCTGTCTGGCCTTCATAGAATTTTATTGCATCTAACTTTTCATTGCAAAATTACTGATTTTCAGGCATGTTTTTCACTTAGTGAACCTTCAATTAATAAACTTTTGGATATGATTACAGGTTGAAAAAAGTATCTGAAATGTATTAACCAAAATTAATCTTAGTCATCAAAATGGCAGATAGAAGTTCCAGGGCATTTATGAAACAATGTAGTTTGCAGGCTCTATTGGCAAAGGATGCTGGATCTTTCTGCTTGCCAGCCAAAAGCACACCCGTGTGCCAAATGCATAAATACCATTTATAATTCACTCAGCTGACCAGATTTATCATTATGTAATCCAAAAATTAATTTTCTTGATTTGGGGGAGTCACAATATTTCAAACTTTTACATAAGGTAGGGTTTTATCACTACTTTTTTATCACATTATCTCATTTGTATAATTCATACTTGCATAAAATGGAAACCATATTCATTAGCACGTGTCTCATTTACTTTTTTTTTTTTTTTTTGAGACAGAGTCTCACTGTGTTGCCCCGGCTAGAGTGCCGTGGCGTCATCCTAGCTCACAGCAACCTCAAACTCCTGGGCTCAAGCGATCCTACTGCCTCAGCCTCCCGAGTAGCTGGGACTACAGGCATGTGCCATCATGCCCGGCTAATTTTTTCTATGTATTTTTAGTTGTCCAATTAATTTCTTTCTAATTTTAGTAGAGATGGAGTCTCGCTCTTGCTCAGGCTGGTTTCGAACTCCTGAGCTCAAACAATCCACCCGCCTCAGCCTCCCAGAGAGCTAGGATTACAGGCGTGAGCCACCACGCCCGGCCAACTCTTTCTATGATAATATCAAACAGGCATCTCAAACTTAATATGGCACAACAGAACTATCACCGGCCCTCTTTGTTCCTCATCTCAGTGAATGGCAATGTCAATCACCCAGCCAAAAACAACAGAGTCATCCCTGACTCTCCTTTTTGCTCACATTCCACATCCAATTCAGCAGGCTCTACCTTCAAAATGTATCCTGAGCCTGACCACGTCGTATCATTCTATCATCACTACCCTAGTCCAAGCTATACCATCATCTCTTGCCTGGACCACTGGAAGAGCCTCCTACATGTTATACGGATTCTACTCTTGTCCCCAAAGTCTATTCCTCACTCAGGATCCAGAGGAATAATTTTAAACCACAAAGAAAATTATATCGACTGTTCTACTCAAACTCCACTGGAATCCAGTCACTCTCAGAGTAAAATTCAAACTCCTTATCATTGCCTATAAGATCTGGTTCCCACCTACCACTCTGATCTCATTTCATATCACCCTGCCTCCCTACAGCCACCCCCCCAGCCTAAGTCCAGCCAAACTGGCTGCCTTACTGTCCCCCTATCAAGCCAAGCTCATTCTACATCAAAGAGCTGTCTTCTCACTTGCTGTTCCCTCTGCCTAAACACTCCTCCCCAGATTCCTTTGCTCCACTAGGGTCTCAATCTCTCCCTCCCTCTTTCTCCCTTCCCCTCACCCCTCCCTTATTCCTTCCACTCCTCCTTCCCTCCCTCCTCCCCTGCCACGCCTTTTCAGACCATTCTTTCAAAAAGAGCCCCTCCAGACCCTTATCTTGTTTTATTTTTTTCATAGCACTTATTACTACCTGAAATTATATTATCTATTTAGCTGTTTATTTGCTTCATTCATAAAATATTAATACTTAGTGAACTTCCATCAGATGTGAGGTGCTCTTCTAAGAGCTGGGGATACAGCAGTGAACACAAGCAAAGATCCCTGCCCTCACAGAGCTCACGTTCTTATTCATCAACCCCACTCAAATCTAAGCTCCAGGGAGGCACAGACCCACAGTCTGTCTAGTGACCACTGAATCCCCAGTGCCCGAGCGGTGCCTTGGCACAGAATAAGAACACATATTTACTGAATGAATAAATGTTCTGCTCCCTGAGGCCACCTGCTTCCCTGAGGATTTCCATGACAGAGCTCTTCCTGCCTACCATGATGTCTCCTTGGACAGAGCAGTATGGACAGCCAGCCTCCCATGGCTCAGCTTGTTCCCTAACGCTGGGCCTGCTGTCCTGACTGACTGCCCTTCCTTCCTGCTCCAACACCCAGCATGCTGCATGCTCCCCATGGCCATGCCACTGGGGTTTGTCTCACTGGGTTACACGAGCCCCTGATCCACACGGCAGGAGCTGGTCAGGTGGTCAGTGTTAAACAGGTCAGCTTTTCTCTACAAAGAGTAGCTGGAATCAAGACGCCATGGGTCATTCTGCTTCCCTGGCCCAAGACATCAACTAGCATCACACCTTGAAACACTCTCATCTCAGCAGTGGAACACACTGTTATTAAGGACATATTTTTGCCTCTTTCAACTGTCATAGAGGCAAGACATTCACCTGCTGTGATGAGTGATTAAGTTTCTTTCAAAAAAGGAAGCACATTTGTTAACTGTGAAATTATCTGATCTCAAATAAAAATGAAGGTAATTGTGAAAGGTAGTTAATTCACCTTTCAAGAAAATGGCAGCTATAATGGTAGGAAGGGGAAAAAAGAAAATGCAAATCTCTTGAAGAATTACTCTGAAAGTCTCAGAAAACAAGTATTTAAAACCCGCATCTCCAACATATGTATGTTTACATTTCAATGTATTTGTTAGCTCAGAAGTGTCCTGCTCTAATACCCTCTCTTATAGGATTAACAGATGAAGGTGTTCACAAACATCACAAAAGCAAAGGCAGGAAGCCCCCAACTAGTGGTCAGTTGAAGTGGGCTGGGTTTGGCAGCTATTTCTTCCTACAGCTGGAACTCCAGCTTGAAAAGGTATGGTATAAAATTAATAAAGTATAGAAGGTGGAGGGAAGATTTGCCTTGCTTTACATTTCAGAGCCAAATAGTATTACCTTATATTTGCCCAGTGCTTTGTTCTCTTCGAAGCATTCTTACACACATCATCCTTTTAGTCTTCAAAGCAAGCAACCCTGTGATGTAAACAGGGCAGAATACATTTCTCCATTTGGGGCCCCAAGAGGTCAAACAATTCACCTAAGATCCCACAGTGAAAGTGGCAGAATCAAGTAGGTACCAGAACCCCAGTACACCTAGGCCCAAGCCCAGCATCCTTCCTTCTGTAATAGAAAGGACAGAAGGTTCTCTGCAAACCACAGTCAACTGAAAGTATTTCCCTTCACTGTGGCAAAAGGGGGAAAAACACATATATTCACCAGTGGCTTAAGGTGGTGGGAAGATGCATTGGTCCTGGAGCTCTGAGCAGAGAAGGTTTCACAGACTCTTCCAACGGATGCCAACTCCTGCAATGACAAATGTACAAAATACCTGGTGTGAATCACAGGCAGTCTATGGCCTTTCCCAAGGGGGCCCATCTAAACACCAATTGCTGGGCACCCCATTTAGGCTCAAGGCCCCATCTTCCTCTTTTAGCCCAACTCCCTTCCTCACTCTGACTTCCCAAATAAAACAAGAATCTTGAATTCACCAGCTGAAATGATCCCCATTAGAATTATAGGATTTTGGGTAGAAAGGAGCTTTAGAGATCATCTTTAACAGGGATCACAAACTGCAAAAGCACAATGGGTTACATCCAGCCTGTAGAGGTATTATATTTCACCTGTAGATGTGTTTAGAAAACATGAGCCAAACTTAAAAATCAGACCTGTCACACAAAAATCCAGACTTCTGACTTCTCTTCAAAAAAAATCAGAAGATCTGTCACCATGGCCCACATTTATGTCTGACAATGATCAGCTGGTGCTATATAGTAGTTACCTTTCATAGGCAAGCTTGGCTGCTCCAATATGCCTCAGACCCTACCATTACCTACTGTCTCCTCAACACAGAGAAGAACTGCAGTTGTCATTTATCATTTCCCTTGCATCATTATTTTTTTGGTGGTACAGAAATATCTTCTTCTACTTATGATTCTAACGAAAGTGGGAAAACAAAAGAAAAAGGAGACAAGTTCCAAAAACAAAAATGGTAGCACACATATAGCAACTCAAGTTGGTAGCGTCACTCCTGTAGACATTTGCAACCCCTGAACAAATACAACGCTCCCATTTTGCATGAGTGTAAGCAGGAAACTGACTTGCCATTCCCAGTTAGAGGCAGAGCAGAACCTAGATCTCCTGACTGCCAATCCAGGACTCCTCCACTATGCCCTACTACATAATAGTCTTATACTATGAAGCAAAAAAATAAACATAGCTGGGCACAGTGGTGCATGCCTATAATCCCAGCTACTCAGGAGGCTGAGGCAGAAGGATCACTTGAGCCCAGGAGTTTGAGGTTGTAGTGAACTATGATTGGGCCACTGCACTCCAGCCTAGGTGACCAGAGCAAGACCCTGTCTCTAAAAAAAATAAAATAAATACACGCAAAATTAACTAATGAAAATTAAATCAAAAATAATGCTTAGCTTTAAGAGAAGTATTAAACTCAAGGAAATACAGTTGAAGGGTCCCACCCACTTTCTACTATACTATGCTTGCCATACCTTTATTTGTCACCAAACAATATAAGAGTAAATTGTATCAGGTTCCCTAAGGGTTTGTTTCCTAATGTGACATTTTTCAAAAATGTCATGACTTTAAGTACAAATAACAACAAAAATCCCACAAATACCATGCATCTAATACTTCAAAAATGCTCAGTTAATGTCCCAAACTGTCTGGAACACTCTTTATGCTAGGAAAATCTCCCTTAATTTGCATCTTCATAATAGAAAAATCTCCCTCAATATGCATCTTGAATATAAGACTGTATATAAGTTTAGATACCAGGTACTAGTACTATAATAAATGAGCAATGTTCAACTATAAGATCTTGGTGGAAGTTATTTATATCACCCCTACAAAGACTTTATTGATTCATTCACTCAACAAATATTTACTGAATCCTATTACACGCCAAGCAGTGTGCAAGGTGATGGAAATACAAAAGTGAACGAGACCCTTAAGTTGTTCTAACTGAATAAAAGACAGATCCAGACACTCAAAATGAATCATAACACAATGGGTAAGCAAAACGATCTGGGTATGCACGGGAGCACTGAGCAGGGGCACCTAATCCAGCGGAGGTGGAGAGGCTCCCTAGCATGGACAGAGGCCTGAAGAAATCCTAAACCTTGGATGGGAGTGGACCAGACTCGGGGGTGGTGGGTTGGGGGCAGCGGGGGAGGGGGAGATGGAGGGAAAGTGGAACAACATAAGCAAAAGCAAGGAGGTGAGAACAGCCGCTCCAATTTGGTCTAGTCCAGATCCCATATTACCTCTGGGTCTTAAAAACCCCTGCCTTATGCCACATGACCCAACGGCTGCTGAGACTTGAAGCATAGCCCCACATATGCACTCTCACAAGTTTATCTCGACAAGTGCCCACATCAAGAATGCCACCAATTTGGTGCTGTTGCCGGCAATGTCTACCTATGACTCCCTTGGGACAGCCAACGACGTCCCAGAGTCTGCGGGGCCCAAGAAAAGTGGTGGTAGAAACACTGAGCCTTTCATGATGTCTCTGAGAAGACAGTAAATGATGTTTTCTTGTGCCAGTCATAAGACTGTCCTATTTCCACCCCAGGGCCCGGACTTCCACAGCTTAGAATCCACTGTGCATTCAAGCCTCAAGTAGGAGCTTTGTGAAAAAATGTCCCAGAGTATTTGCCCATCAAAATCCCCATGTGGAGTGCTTCTTTCCTTCACAGATAGCAGAGATGAGCTGCCGCCAGCCCGGATCCCAGCTGAGGCAAAGTCAGGGGAGAGCACTCTGAGAACACAAGCTGGAAGGGGGCACACAGAGGAGCAGAGGTCAAACACACGGCTGTGGCCATGGTCAGGGGTCAGTGTTCAAGGCCGGTATGAGGAAACAGGGAGGCAGAATTCACCCAAAGAGTGGGAAGAGCATCCCTGGATCTGTAACTGGTGGGGAGGTTCCCAAATCTGGCTGAAAATTAAAATCATCTGGAAAACAAAACAAAACACAAACTCCCTAAGTCCCAGAGCCACTAAATCAGAGTCTTTGAGGCTCAGGCATTATTCAAAAGCTCCTATAAGTGATTCTGATGCCCAGCCAGAAAAGGGTATATTTTACCCAGAGGCCTCAGAACTTCTAGAACAGTCTCTTCGAGGTCATTAGTTCAGCATCCTCCAGGAAAAATCCAAAGATGCAGATTTTAGGGGAGTTGCACATTTTTATTATGTTTGCCCACCCTACACTGCATTATGACTTCCATCACCTAACTTCTTTTTTATTTCAAATAAATAAAAAAAAAGCCAGCAGCCAGAATAGCAATTGGGTAAGCGAAGGGGGCCTTCCTCTTCCTCAAGGGCCTCCTAGTCCCTTGCATACCATGACTCAATGTCTGCCTCCAGATACACTATCAGGGATAGTTTATCTCCATCTCAGCAGTGGATCAGAGCTTTCATACACCTGCGTAGCTTCATAAAGGATCTGGGAGCATCCAGTCATCAAGGTGGCCTTCGAGGAACAGCTCCAAGGCACAGAGCACTCTGATCAGGTCCTTCGTGCCCACCAAAGGGCAGGACACTGCAGATCGATGCCAAACCCGAAACTTGCCAAGTCGGCTGAGCACTTCTTTTTCCAGATTTCCACTTTGTGGTCATATAACGGCCTGAGCAATCTCAAGCCAAGAATGGCAAAGTAAATGCTGTGTACCGCAAAGATAAGCGATTGGAGTAAGCTGCACCCTGAGTGGATCAGCCCAGACAGAGCTCTTCTCTAACATCGCCAGGTGCGACCAGGTGACCTTCAGAGCCAGCACCAGAGAAACCCACAGCTGGCCAAGACCAGCCTTCCTGATTGCAATGCAGCAGCAATCCACACTATCCTTCAATAGAACAAGGAGACACTCAGGCATCCCCATCAACCTAAGGGTCCTCCCTGTGAGCCATAATGCAAATTTAGAACACCAGTGTAGGGGAGGAATCCTAGGAAAAGCTCAAGATAATCATTTGCCCCCTTCTGGTGGACCTCAGTTTTTAAGAGAGCCATTCATTATTTCCTGCAGTACTGTTACATCCTGGCCTAAAACAAAACATTTCTCTGACCCAACCCTCCAAAGGACAGCACAAGAGTTGTTCCAGGCCCTGCCAAAGACCTTGATCCATCACTTCCCTCATCTATAGCCTCTTCTCTACCCCATGCTGAACAAAGATCGATACTGGCTGTTGTGAAAGTCACCTCGGCCACCGTCCTTCCCACCAAACATCAATCCAGACCATCCAACCCGCTCTCGACCAATGGGAGCCTCTCCCATTCCATGTTCTCACAGCACCGTGGATCTCTCCTTCCTGGCATGTATCACTTGTATTTTTACATCGTTGTTCCACTAACTTATACATGGGCAAGAATCCATATCATCATTTTTGTTTAGCCTTTTTGTTGTTTTTAAGTTTTAAGGGGACTTTTGTTTGTTTGGCTAATTACTGTAGGTTCCTTCAAAATATACTCCAAATTTCAATCCACCCAGCTCAGACTTCTTGGCCCCTCTCTTTCTCCTGAATCCAAGGCCCAAGGTGCTTCCTGAGCTAATGGCAGACTCTTTCCTTCTCCCTCCACAAATTCCAGCTCCTCCATCAACAAACCCAGATGGTCCAGGGGTGAAAATCCCCAACTGGCCTTGAGGCTGACCAACTTGAGAAAAAAAATCAGAATAATTATCTATTTCCTTTTCATGCAGTGTCTTTTCAAATCACTGCATTCATTATTTTATTTAAGATGACATTCTAATATGCAAAATGAATCCCTGTCTTGACCTTGAAAAGGACTTCCCTGTTTCCCAGAACAAACCCAACATCCTCAGGACCTGGCTGAAGCTTCCAAGGTGTTCAATGCCGGGGTGGTGCCCACTTCCCAAGTGCCCTCGACTCTGTCCCCATGCCCAGCTGTCCTCCTCCCGCACCCACTGGCAGACGAAAATGGGTTTTGGGAGTTTTTTAAAGCTCTCCCACCTACTCCACAGATCCAGTAGGAGGGAGAATGAATGTTTCCAAGTTCTCTGAATGACACAAAGCTCACAAAGTACAACAAAATTAGTTGAAAAATAGCAAAATGAGTTTAGCTCCCCCTTAAAAAAAAAAAAAAAAAAGCACGCCTACTTTCAGTGGTTCACAGTGACTTCATATTTTTTTCCTCCACTAGGATATGCATTCTTCCTCCCAAAGCTGATGGTTCTCCCGTCCGAAGACAGTGTAGGGCCAGGTCTCCACAGATACGTGTTCTGATTTGGGGCCCCCTAGAAAGACCTTGACAAA